GTTGATTTATTCAACTTGAAATGTTTAACATGTATTTATGCATAAATCTGACAGTGACCTACATTAATTAATGCTGTAAAATTATTGCATATTGTCAGACAATGATAGCTAACTTTAACCAACTGAACCTTATTGTAAAGAGTTATGCATTTATTGTCAGTAAAATATTTTTAATACATATATAATAGCCCAAATACTGTATACAAACACTTGTCACATTTAAAATTAAGAATAGTATTGTATTAAGATTATATTAACAAATAAAGTTTGTCAGAACTTAAGTAAAAAACAATAATAAAATAATAATAATAATAATAAATAAAATAAAAACAGTATACTCTACCATTCAAAAGTCTGTGATCAGTATTTCATTTAATAAATCATTATTTATGTATTTATTTATTTTAGGAAATTAATATTTTTATTCAGCAAGGATGCATAAAATTGATAAAAAGTGACAGTACATACATTTCTAATGTTACAAAAGCTTTCTAATTCAAATAAATTCTGTTCTTTTGAACTTTCTATTCATCAAAGAATCCTGAAAAATACTGTATCGCGATTTCCACAAAAATATTCGGCAGCACACGTTTTCAACATTGATAATAATAATGTTTCTTAAGCAGCAAATCAGCATATTAGAATGATTTCTGAAGGATCATGTGACACCGAAGACTGGAGTAATGATGCTGAAAATTCAGCTTTGATCACAGCAATAAATTACATTTTAAAATATATTCACATATAAAACAGTTATTTTAAACTGTAATAATGTTTCCGAATATTATAGTATTTTTGATCAAATAAATGCAGCCTTGGGAAGCAGAAGAAACTTCTTTCAAAACCATTTAAAAATCTTTTTAACAGTAGAAGCAACATTAAATTGCTTCCTCTCGGCCATTATAATAAACATATTAAGTGAATTCAAGAGTTCAATCTTTGTTTCCTCACCCACAACAAATCAAACTGATTAAACATGGAAATAACTGAAAGGTCACAAAGTTGAACATCTATACAGAAACCACAGTTCCAATTAACAAAGGCTGACCTATAGAGACACAATGTATTAACTTTTAATCAAAGGTTGAATATAGTAGTAGGATTATTGTAGCAATAAATAGTAACGGCTCATAAAAGATGCCACCGTAACACAATAACAATATTGCATTAGCTACAGTTCATCATTCAAAACCTCAAGGGGAACGACAGCAATAATATTTCTGTTTATTAAAATTCTGCATTGTGACGTGAAAACAAATCATATTGCCAATAGGCATATCATAGCACAACAAGAATATCTCCTTATTTTTTTTTTTTGTTTAAATTGTGGCCAGATGATAAATATGTAAAACCATGCTGTTCTGTTCTCTCTGCGTTAACCAGATGCGTCAATGTGATTTGCATTCATAAATGGGTTTGCATGTACATCTGCCACCAGATGATCCAATGACTGCGTTTATTGGAAAATACTGTATGTTGTCAGCTTCAGTTTAACACATAAGGCACGTAAGAGACTGAAATGCTGTATTTCTGCTTTAATAACTTAGTAAATTTGGAATATGTATTAAAATAAATGTAGTTGATTTGATTTTATCTGTATAAATTAACATTATGTATAAAAGTATTGGCAAAAAGAAAAAGAAAAGTATGTTTGTTTTTTTTAACAGATCAAACATACAAAGAAACTGAACACATACTTATCTGAAAATTACCTGAATATCTCAAAAGATTTACCAAATGTGAATAAATTGTTGGTTTATCTGAGGCTCACACTACCTCATGATTGCATCTGTAATTCGGCGCAATTCTCCATCCGTAGTGTAATGACAGATAACTGACGATAATTACGGCAGCGATTCTCTGAAGCGCAAATATGTTTTGGAATATCGTTTAAATGATGCCGCTCTGACCGAAAATATAGTGTCAGACACACTGCAATCTGCTCCAAGAAAATAAATGACAAGAGACAGATTTAGAAGTAAACAAACCAACACGTAAATCTCGGAGGTACAAATGTGAAAATGTACACCTTGTGGTGCAAATTATATGCGACTGCTGCAATACCGAAGGTTTATTTCCCATATACCTCATAATTTCTCATTGTTATAGAGGAGCAGCTGACATAAAGACAAGATTTTGTTTCAATATTTAGTTGCCTTAAAATGTATATCAATTTATAAGATGTATGCATCAAAGTATTTTCTAACCATTTTTTACCCATGTTTTTGCCTTCACTAGTTGATTTCAATGGTCATGTGATTATTTGTTTTTATATTCCATGTAGTCTCTCAGTTCATATGACATCATGAAAACATATTAAAAATAAATAACTTTAAAAGTAATTGTAACACTACAAGACATAATAGTTAGACTGCAATAATATGTCTTTGAAATGTTATTAATAGGAGTCTAAATAATGACTGGTCACAACATACTGTAGATGTTTTAGCATTTAGTTTTAGCAATTCAATGCATATAAAAAGTAAAACCCAATTTGATAATGCCAACATAAAACTGTAATTATAATCACTTCGTTCACCAAATGATCAAACCAACCAAGCAAGCAACAAAAAGCAAAACAAAACAACGTGAGGAAAAGCAAAACAAACAAACAAATTAATGAAGACAATTAGAATAATCATTCACAACATGACAAACAAATTAAACAAAAAACAAGCATGCAACAAAAAGCAAAACAAAACAAAAATAAAAAGCAAAATTCAGAAACAAACATAAATAAAAAGACAATGTAAAATAAATGTGCACACAACATGACAAACAAACAAATCAAACAAAAAAGCAAGCAACAAGTAAAACAAAGCAAAACAAAACAAAACACAAAACAGCAAACAGCAATTTGTTTGTGTGAGTTTTGCTTTTTATTTGGTTTTGTATAAATAAAATAAAAAGACAATTTGAATAAATGTTATGTTTATGACAAAATCTTGGCTGTCTAGCTACATTAAACTATAAAGAGAAAACAAATGTCCTTTAAGGACAGTTGAATTACACGTCATGCCAGCTGCCCATATTTTCTAATATTTCCTATTTTAACATGATTATCAAAAGGTTATATGGCTATTAGAGAAAATGATGCTTATTTCTCGTGTTGTTGCGGCGCAGCAGACTGCAGAGCAGAATTATCTGTTTGTACTGAATTGGCCTCTCTGTGCTGAGGTGGGTCTGCTGATGGCGCATGCTGCTGCTGCTTTGTGGGAGATGGGAATGGACGATCATATTTCTCTGCAGAGGGGAAGCTCTCGGGGGAAGAGCTTCACTTTCTGCTGTCTAATGCTGCGGTGGACTGATCAGAGTACTGGCTGTGGAAAGACCTGCCATTGCATTAACGTTATGCCACAGAAACCTCTGGGAACTTTGTGATTCCACTTCAGATAGTCACTAGCAGGCTTTCATCGCCACCCACCGTCACGCTGTTAAAAGCTACAGCAGGATTTATTGCTTAAGGTGCTTGAAGGACCATAAAGAAGTAGTTTACTGTATGCAGTGGTGACACCGAAGCGGTCCTTGACTTTCATTGGTTCAGTTCAACAGGTAGATCCATTACAAATTAAAAGAAGGCCAGATAGATTTGTTCAAAGAAGATACCGTTAATGAATTAATCGCTTCATTTTCGTGAATGAAACAAGCCTTTTGAAGGACAGCTGGTTCAATATGTTGTAAGTTTCTTCTAATTTTCAAAACCATGTTATACATCCACTGAAAATGTGTTGATTTTTTTGTGTGTCATTTGCTGAGTGACAATCAGGTACACAACAGCTCGACACATTAGGAAAAGCCAGCAGGGTGAATTTATGAGTTTGCTCGGAAAACCATTCTTAGGTAATTTGTTGCATGAATTATGGAGCCACTAAAAGGACAAGGTGAAACAATAATCTTTTAATGTTTTTGCATTCTCTTGCAAAAGTATTGTGTTCCCCGGAGAAACTTTGTTCTCTTGCAAAACATTTGCATTCTCTCTTAAAAGTGTTGCATTCTCCCAAAAGTATTGTTCCCCCTAAAATGTTGGGTTGACTTGCAAAAGTATTGCGTTCTCCTGAATGAGAAACTTTGCATTTTCTCACAAAAAAAAAATATTGTGTTCTCCCAAAAGTATTCCATTCTACCAAGAAACTTTGAGTTCTCTCGCAAAAGTATAGAGTTACCCCAAAAGTACTGTGTTCTGCCCAAGAAACATTGTGTTCTCTCAACTTGGCGTTCTCTCGCAAAAGTATTGTGTATCCCGAGAAACTTTCTCTCGCAAAAGCATTGCATTTTCCACAAACAACTGCATTCCCCTGAGAAACTTTGCATTCTTTTGCAATTTTTTACCAACAATTTCAATTCAACTAGACCTTGCATTATTCACAATATTTTGTCATTTTTGTCTTATTCGTGCAATTTTTGGATTCTATATAAATGCGTTTGCATCCTATATAAATACATGCCGTACTTCATCAAGACTTTATTTTTATCAAACAAACAAAAATAATAAATAAATCAACTAATGATTGTTTCTTTGTCATTGTCTAAATATTTCAATGATTATTGCGTATTTGGTTACTTACGGGTACAATGGTGACAGACACATTATAGAACTGCATAATGAATATTAGTAGATTTCCATGGCACAACACCACAAAAATACTGCAAATAGCACTGGAATATTTTAGATTAGCTGCTGAAAAATCTGTTATTTTGGACTGAAATAATCAAAAAAAAGTCCTAGATGGGCTACTACACTCACTAAGGTCTGCAGAAGCAGATAAAGCATGTTTTATTTGTGTGAGCTTATTATACTGGAATATTGAAATGTTAAAATACCAAATGTTACTTTTGGCAGAACTTCTCAAGTTGTAAGCCAACCAATTAATTTTAAGGGTTCTTGACTGAGGCGACAGACCCTGTACTGCTGTCTGTCAGTGGCAGATCTGGACTCTAGTCGTGGTAAGATGGAGAGGCTGGTTGTGCTTTGCTGAACCTGTGTGGGAAGCTGTACTCACCGCTGTGCTGGCAGCTGCCTGCTTGGACTCCTCCGTCAGGAAAGTTAGCATCTGTTCTACCTTCTGCTCTTCCTCCGTGCTGATGTAGTCCGTATCTATGCAAAACAAACACAACAAATGTCAGACTTAACACAGAGAACATTTCAGGAATCGCTCATTGGTGAGCTTTTCACAACGCAGACGCAAACACCAAGACTAAACATGGGCCGGATTTTCAACGTCAATATAGAATGTAATTCTTATAAATTCATCCATATCCATCCTTCCAACCATCCATCCATTTATACAAAAAAATACATTTATACAAAGCAAAAAATATTTAAAAAATGTATTTATTAAAATTAAAATATCACAAAAAATTAAAAAGCAGTGTTTTTCATCACCAAAAAAAAAAACTTTTTAATCGCACATCTAGGAAAATTATTTAATAGATATCTTTCCACTGTAGTTTTTGGGCCTTTTTAGCGAATGATTATCCATTTAAATACATTTTAAAGCACATTTTTATAATACATAATTATTTTATAATACAAATAATGACAATTTTATAATAAAAAGGTCAGAATGATGCACTGTAAGAGGAGACCGCTGTTACGACTGCCACTCAAAGTCCCGTTCAGCAGCCCTGACTGACATAATCAAAAAAGATCAATGCCAAAGAAAATACTTTCTAATTGCATTTACGTCATTTGCCCATCCATCATTCAATGGGTTGAATTGCTGGAGGGGGACGGTGTGAAAGACTCTCCCCATCACCCTCCACCCATTAGCCAGGCTCATCATGAATGCATCGGGATCAGCTTGATCATTTTAGACTCTCGTTGCAAGGTCTGGGAGGCTCGTTTTTCCTTCAGATTTACTTTCCCCGCAGCAATTTCATGCTCGTCTAGTCTGCAACTGCCAAATTTGGTCTTGACATTGCCAATCATCGCTGCGCCGGCCAGTGTTTTGGACTGATGAACAGCGGTGACAGTCGGCGTCTTGATTGCGAGTGGAAGACGAAGTGGAAAAGCACTACGTTACGGCATCTGATGCCACAGTTCTGATGTTAAAATGACTGCAGCTAGAATCACACAGCAGGGGAAACAAGGTGGCAAGGTTTGGCTAGTTTGCATGCTTCAGATAACAACAGCTGACAGACGCCACACCTACATACTCGCTAGTTCTTTCTCCACTGACAGTCATTCAAAAGTAGCTGTATATTCTGAATATTTTATTCTGTTAGGACCGATTTTGTTTGTGCTCTTAAAGGCCATCCTGAGAGGTGCTGATTTTTATACTTTTGTTTTGTTGTTGTGGTTATGGTTAAAATTTAACAAAGATATTAATATACATTATATTTTCTACATAATATATTATATACAGTGTATAGATAAATGTAATAATTTTAGTCTGTGGAAAAAAATTGTCAGTCGATGAGAAAAATGAAACCAATTTAAAAAAAAAATAAAAATTTATTACTGTATTGTATTGTATTGTATTGTATAATATATAATATTACATTTTTTATTATCCGATTAAATTATATAAACCGAGGCGTCTATACAGCGATCTGTTGCGCCACATCAAAGAGCGCCAAAACGGCATTCATTGTTTGAATCTCCTGAAAAAAGGACATAATTTGAAAGATGAGACTTTGTTTCTTATCAAAAGTAACAATATATAAAACTGGAAGTTTCCAATGAAGTTCCGCTCGTGCAGTGGTTAAACCCACGCAGTATTTGCTCGGGACATATGCGCACCGAACCGAAAGATCCGCACCGAAAATTTTCAGTACAAATACGTGTACCGTTACACCCCTAATATATATTTATATATACATTTAAAATTTGTATTAATTTAATCTTAGAATAAAATGCCATCTAAACAAAAATAAATGTAAACTGGGGCCATTAACTTACAAAAATGAAAGGGGAGAAAAAGAAAATTATTTGATTGATTCAATTCGATTTACTGGGAGCATTTATAATGTCCATTTTGCCTGCATACAAAAGGAATTGTTAGAAACTTTAATTATACATATATATATATATATATATATATATATATATATATATATATATATATGTTACATCAGCTACAGTGAATAACGAAGTATCCTAACAAATATTGTTTTTCTCACATTACTTTATTGTGGGGCTTCAGTAGACTTGGAATATAGTGCATAAGTGTTATGGATTACTGTAGTGGTGCATTTTGTCATTTTTTAGCTCAACTGCCCCAGTTCCCAATCTAAAAAAGAAGCGCCAACATTCTCCAATTTATCTTTTTTTTTTTTCACAGTAGAAGTAAGGCCAGATGGGTTTGGGATGCAATGAACGCGAGTAAATAATGACAGAATTTTGGCTAAACTAACCCTTAAATGTTTTAATAAGGGTTTGGACCACACAAGTAACTCTCCACGAGCCTCCCACACACAGCACAGTCCTTCAGAGGAGAGCTGGGAATCTTTCCCACGCCATCTACACATTAATTAGTCCTTCGACTCGCCCTCGAGGATCAATGTCAAAAGCTGCGCAGCCAGATCAATGCTGCATCCCATCCAAACTGGTGGCTTTGTGATAGGAACACGGCTTAATGTCATTAAGGCCATTAGCATCCCTGTGAAACCTCCTTCAGAGCCGCTGGGATAATGAGACGGGACGGTCGTACTGCGCTGGTTTGAGGAAGGCTGTGGTATTTTGGTCTGTCATTAGATCCGGTGCAGTGAAAAGCGCACAGGTCGGCGCGAGCGCTTGACGCTGGACATACCCTTTGAAGTGCTAATGTGGGCCACCTTTCCTCATTACTCTCTCCGTTCTTCTGATTTCTTGTGTATAAATGTCTTTCTGTAAGCCGGCACAATGAATCTGCGCTGCCTCCAGCACTCATTCATTATATATGGCTGCTGTAGCTGTGCGTACATGGAAGTGCTTTGGCTCTCCAGGCGATCGGAGCATGACAACGGCTGCACTGGACTTTCTTTTTAACATGACTTTGAGATTTGATTCTGAATTCTGCCACTGTTAAATCAGTTTATATAATATAATAATATACTATATTATTTATTTAATATTTTTAAAAATATTTATATGATATAAAATTACGTATAAATTCAATTCTAAATGTATGAGTATTATAAGTATAAAATGTAAATAAATAAATTACTGTGTGTGTGTGTGTGTGTGTGCGCGCGCGCGCGTGGAAATTTATTTTAACTAAAAATATGATAAAATATATTTAATTTTATTTAATACATATGAAGCGCCAAACAGGAAATAATTATATAAAATCTGAATATATAAATGCAAATTGTGAATATGTAGAAGCAAATCAGAATATATTTGTTATAAATCTGAATATATAAATGTAAATCAGAATATAAAGATAAAAATCAATATATAAATGTAAATCATGAATATATGGAAGTAAATCTGAATATATAGTTATAAGTGAATATATAAATGTAAATTGTGATCTGTTGCGCCACATCAAAGAGCGCCAAAACGGCATTCATTGTTTGAATCTCCTGAAAAAAGGACATAATTTGAAAGATGAGACTTTGTTTCTTATCAAAAGTAACAATATATAAAACTGGAAGTTTCCAATGAAGTTCCGCTCGTGCAGTGGTTAAACCCACGCAGTATTTGCTCGGGACATATGCGCACCGAACCGAAAGATCCGCACCGAAAATTTTCAGTACAAATACGTGTACCGTTACACCCCTAATATATATTTATATATACATTTAAAATTTGTATTAATTTAATCTTAGAATAAAATGCCATCTAATTTTAGTAAATGAAAAAAAATCTGTTCAAGTGCAAAATTAAAACAATTAATGTAAAAGAAAACATTTTATAAGTGTTATAATTTACTATTTATTATATATTTTTTATATGTAATTCATGTATATTAAAAATTATTTATTAATCATCTATTATGTTACTGCAATTATAATTTAATTATAAAATGATACATTTTTACATTTTGATACATTTTATTATTTTTATATATATATTTTTTTTTTTTATTTATGTCATGTTAATTTAAAAAAAGCATCAGCTTTTAACAAAAAAAGGCAGCCCTTGTTGTGAAAACCTAAAATAATATTATAATCAGAACACTATTATAATACAATATTTTGAATTTAGTATGCTTCAGTTAAGTTCATGTTATGAGGGACATTCAAAAGAGAGCCGTGCTAATGAAACTTTTGGCCTTTATCACTGGGACACCCTTCCAGGTCTGAAAGCACATCATTAGCAAAACGCAATCAATCAACTAGCAAATCTCACACAAACTCAGCTCGTGTAGCTTCAATTAATAGTTCATCCAAATATTAACATTCTGACATTATTTCTAGATAATATAGGTTCGGGCACCATGAGGGTATAAATAAATAAAAATGAATAAAATAAATGGAGAATGAGCCTAACAAACTCCAAAAATTAATAAAAAGGGCTACTATGGATTTATTTAGATTCAATTTGATTCTTCAGCTTTTTTTATTATTTGTTTTCAATTAAATGATGCATAAAAAAATATAAAGGGAACATTCTAACAACAAAAATAAATGAGGACTGAGGCTATCAACCTCCAAAAATGAAAAGGAAAAAAGAAAAATAAGTGCAGTATTCAAGCTTAATTTGATTCACTTAAAATAAATTTCAATAAAATGTAATTATACCTAATTAATCAATGCATTTCATATAATTTATTTATTTGATTTATTTATCGAAAAGTGAATATATAAATGTAAATTGTGAATATGTAGTTATAATTCTGAATATGTAAATATAAATTGCAATATGTAGATATAAGTCTAAGTTTCCATTTTTTAACATAAGATTAATTTATTAGATTAAATAATATTATACTACTTGATAATTAATATTTTAATATTTTTAAATAAAATATTTGTATAATATAAAATTACATATTAATGTTTGTGCATGTGTAAAATAAATGTACATTTATTTGAATTAAAAATAAATAGAACTAAATTATAAGCAATAAAGATTTTAGATACATATGAATAAAATTATATATTTTTTGTATATAATATTCATAACATATTTTTATATATAACATAGGTAATCTGAATGTATATATT